CATGGTACAATGGTACATTCATTGTACTACCACTGTGCATACTGCAAACTGGTAACCATGGAATTATCATTGTACAAATTTTTTTGTTTTATTCAAAACTTGCCAATTATAAATGTCAAAACACCATGGTGGTACAACTCATTGTACCACCATAGTGCTAATCAAAAACTGTGACATAATAACTATGGTAAATGTCCAAACAACCAAGCATTATCATGGTGAGCGTGATTTCACCAAGTACAACATGTTCCTGGATCAACATTCTTGTTGATCTTGGAACAACATTCCTATCAACCAATCAGAATTGAGGGATAACTTTTCAGGAAATATCTGTTTTAGGCTTTACAATCAGGGTTAGGTGCTTCTACACCCTTGTTTATCAGCTATCATTTCACACTGTTTTTAGGAATAAATGTATGGGTAGGGTTAGGTTTAGGGGTAGAGATTGGGTTAAGTCTATATTTTTGGACAGTAATGTTGATCCAGGATCACCAAAAGAGGTTGTTCCAGGAACATGTCTTACTTGGCAAAATCACGGCGACCCATTATCATGGTACCTGTTCAAAAAAGGCAAAACACGGTTTTACCATTGTGTATTTCCAAAAACTAGGATATTACCTATAAATATCCAAAATACCATGGAATTACTATGGTGCATGCCCAGAAGACCTGGGTCTAACATAAGTAGAAAGCTATGCTGCATGTGCAAACAATCACAGTGATAACATGTCAGATTTTGTGAATGATTAATGTGTGTAAATAAGGCGTACCTGATGAGCACAGCGACTCCAGCGTTCTCGCGGTTCTCGTAGACGGGTCTCCACGTGTCCTGGATCACACAGACGTCGTCCTCGGTGAGAGTCTCAGGGCTCTGTGTGAGCTCCACACCTCCGTCTCCCTCCATCCAGACGCTCGCTGAGAAACACTTGAGCTGTGTGTGTGCTCCTGCCGGGGTCTTTATTTCTGTCTCCTCAAGAGTCTGATGAAGAGTTACTGCTGAATGAAGAAGATCCTCCCACCCGCTTCCCTTTATCTCTCTCTCTCTCTCACTCACTCGCTCACACACTCATGTTCTCCTCTTAACTCACAATCACACCTTTCTACTCCGGTTACTTGTTTTATTTTTTTCTCACACTCTTGCATCCGTCTGCTGCCCACCCACAGGAAAGACAACAAACAAGATCTCTATAATATCTCATTTGTTTCTCCTGGACAGCAAGGGTTGAGTTCTTCTAGAGTTCCAGAAGAGATCTTAACTCAAATACCTAAATCTGCAATCTAAAGTTTTGTTTTTTTTGTCTTGTTTTATAGTAAAACATCTACATGTCCTTAAACGAGACACAGAACCAAAATTACCCATCTCCTTAAATATCTTTAAAATACAGTTCACTCAAAAGTGATTTTACTTCATTCCAAGACTTACTTTCTTCTGTGGAGCACAAGATTATGATGTTTTTGAAGGTGTATGAGGTTTTCAATGAAAGTCAGTTGGGTTCAGTGTTAGGTCATTAATGTTCTTTAAAACATCTTTCATGTTTCACAGAAGAAAGAAAGCCTAACAGGTTTGGAAATTACATGAAGGCACCTAAATTATTTTTGGTTGAACTGTTTCTTTATGGAGCTTGTCTTCTCTCTGAGAGCTCTGTAAGGGTACATTGAAAATATGTATGCAAATCCATTGAATTTAGTTGACAATATGAACTAACATTTCTTATCAAATGATCTGATTTTCTCCACATTCTTTTTATGCCTCTTTACTCTTAATGGATGATAACTATTGACTAATTTTGGTTTGTTCTTGCTGGAAAAACTTCTGAGATGAAATTGACATGAAACACAATGGAGAACTCCATGCTTATTCTTTATCTTGAACAAACACACACGAGCACTGTAAGAGCAAACGGACACGCTCCACCTTACAATCAACACTGCTGCGACTGCGTCTGTCACACCTTAGACGAACATGCAGCTGCACATCCAGAAGATTGTTTTATTGCTCAGATGCTGATGTTTCAACCGTTTGACAGCTTTTTCTCTAATGATTCATTAAAGTAAATATTATCCGATGTTTATCCTCTGAATCCCCGGAGGGGAAATAAAAACAGGCTCGAATGGGACAACACTGGTCTTCCAGTAAGAGTATAGAGCTCATTTGTTGAGAAATGTTGGAGTTCATACAGAGTGTGCATGATGAAGCTGTTGGTGGGTGTGAAGCATGTGTACGTGCGTGTGTGTGTGATTGTGCGACAGTCAAAGTGAGGTCAGACAGACCCTTTACACACTTTCACATTGACATAATCACTGAGGGAGAGAGGGAGAGGTTTAGTCAGATTGAGCTAATTTCTGGAGAGTGTCACACAGACAGAGAGAGGCAGGTGTTTGGGTGTTCAGGGACAGATCAGAGGTTTTTGTCTTATTGTTCAGGGGGCGGTATGTTTTGAGGGGTCATGGGGTCAGTTTGACACCTGTCTGCAGTGTGAGCTGTGATCTGAGCAATTATCACCCCTGTCTATTTGCGTCGCTTCAGTAGTTTTCATGCATTGCTTTGAAAGTGCATGTACTGCAGTGTTTTTGATAGAAGTCTCTTCTGCTCACCAAGGCTACAGTTATTTGATCAAAAAATTGTGAAATAGTATTACCATTTAAAATAACTTTCTATGTAAATATATTGTAAAATCTAATTTATTTCTGTGATGAAATCTGAATTTTCAGCATCATTACTCCAGTCTTCAGTGTCACATGATCCTTCAGAAATGAATATGTTGATTTGCTGCTCAAGAAACTTTTCTGATTATTATCAATGTTGAAAACAGTTGTGCTGCTTCATATTTTTGTGGAAACCCTGAATTTTTTCCAGGATTCTTTGAATAGAATAGAAAGTTCAAAGAACAGCATTTACTGTATCTGAAATAATAAACATCATAAATGTATTTACTATCTATCTCTTTGGATCCATTTAATGTATCCTATAATTGTAAGGTCTTTATCTCAATCTGAACTGCTTGTATAACACTAAGTGAAATATTGCATATGCTGCATGTGACCCCATTGGCCCCAAATATTTCTCAAGAATGCATACCAACCATATATCAGCGCTTTGCTGCTGAAATATGAACTGTATGGATTATATGAGTGTGGGTGTATAAGGTCAGGAATCTAAATGAAAGCAGATGTGTGTATGTTGAAGAAACATCCCAACCCTGAGGCCTGTGAGCCATCATTACAGATTTGTTACAGTATTTATCATAATTCTTCTTTTCATACTCAACCTATGAAGAGCAATTACACAGTCAGTCATTTTTATGTTAAAGCTTAAGTTGTACATTGACATTTTAGTGCACTTGATAGAACAAACTGAAAGTTGTTTAGTTGTTACAGAGTTTCGTAAAACATCAGGTCTGCTCATAGCCATTTGAGTGGATTCAATGCCTAGGCCAGTGGTTCCCAACCCTGGTCCTGGAGGCACCCCAACACTGCACATTTTGCATGTCTCCTTTCTATGACACACCAATTTCAGGTCTTGAAGTCTCTACTAATGAGCTGATGGTCTGAATCAGGTGTGTTTGATTAAAGAGACATGCAAAAAGTGCAGTGTTGGAGTGCCTCAAGGACCAGGGTTGGGAACCACTGGCCTAGGCCAGGGAATAACCTGACAGCCCAAAAACTGTCGTTAATTTACTGTGTTTCCGCTGCCCTCCAATGGAAGCTGGAAGCAGTTACGTGCAAGAAAGGCATTCAGAACTCAAATTTGTGTATTTGCACAGCAAATGTTTATAAATTCACTGGACATTAAAATTTAAATTTCATTAAAAACAACACAAAGAATATAATCAAGATTATTATAATAAATGACTATATAAATGCTACATGCATACATAAAGAGAGGATAGTGTGTGTGATGATGTGAATATGACGATTCACATAGAATTCAATTTAATTTATATACCACTTTTCACAGCACTCATTGTTTCGAAGCAGCTTCACAGAAAATCATGATGTTTCTGAATATTTTTATATCTTCATGCCTTATAATGGCATTTAGCAGATTAGAACTGGACGATAATAGTTACATTTTGTGCAGTGATATAAACATCACACAGCTGAGATTTTATATGTAGTATGTAATGCATTTCATGAGTATACTGTATATATGCAGGTAAAGCAGGATGTAGGCCTATCCGACTTTTAATATATCGTTCGTTGGATGATAATATATATTGCATTTTTTTCAACAGTTTAAACAATCACACAGTTGCTAAAGTACAAACTGCTGAATACTGTATGTTTTCAGATACGTTTGGGTATACATAAATTAATTTAATTTCCTTCGTATAATTCAATATTAATTCAAATCTATTTGGTGATGTGTAAAAGTGACATTTTGTCTTTAGCTAAATATGGTTGTCATACCTCTATTGAATATTCTGTACATCATAGTTGTGCTCCATTCAGAACTAAACAATAATTGCCTTTTAAATTCCAGTTCAGTTCTTGAATTTGAATTGAATTTGAAAAGTTGAAAAGGTGGATGAAGACTTCATTTTCCAGAACAACGCACCCCAGGTTAGTCTACTCATCACACTTCCATTTTCACATACTACACACTAGGGGGCAGTATGGTGTTTACCTCCTGGCACACAGGTACAGGTGGTGGTGGTGGAGGGAGGAGTTATGAAAAAGGATGAAGTAAGTTTGGGCGTAGTTCAGGTCAGCACATCATTAGACGGTTATCATCACCGACACCCTTGATGAATGTCAAATACAAGAGGGAGCTGAGCGAGGTAAGATCACATTTGAACAAAATGATAGATGTGTGAAAGATTTTATGATTGGATCATTTAGGACCTTAAAACCGTGTTGTTGATATGTTTTGGAGGACGTGTGGCAAATGCAAATGACTAATTCAAATGTCAGGAAGTCCAGGATCTAGTTGCACTAGTTAGCCCTTGATCCTGTATTTATTTGTTTGTTTTTTTATTGCCTACAAGTTTGAAGGGAATGTTGCTGTTAAATGCTTATTGCTGTTAAATGCTTATGGTGTTAAACAGCATCCATACATGCATATCTCCAGGTGTGTCAGTAGAGTTAAATGTGGCACCTGTGGCACATGTTATACCAATGTAAGAAAAATAACTTTTTCCAATAGATTTTGGGACCCTGCTGGTTTGTTTTACACTTCCGTGTCAGCAATGATTATGCATGTAGAATCATTAATTACAATTATTTCTTGCCTTGCTGTCGTTCACAGCCCAACCCATTCAAATAACAAACAAACACAATTTGCAGTTGTCATTTGATAATATATATATATATATATATATTCACTTGATATCTTTACTCTGTTAATGGACTGAAGCCCAACCCATTCAAATAACAAACAAACACAATTTGCAGTTGTCATTTGATAATATATATATATATATTCACTTGATATCTTTACTCTGTTAATGGACTGCTCTAACAACCTGTTTACGTTTCTGTAATGTAGGTAGCAAAAACTAATGTGATCACTTGTATCGAAAACAGGGCGACCCTTCAAGTGTTGCTAACCGTGGTCTAAATTCTGGCCACCTCATGGTGGAGAGTTATTGTGCTGGTAGTATTTAGAAAGCACTTAATTAAAGCGTTAACTTTTGTTCTATGCGAAAGCATCTTTAAAATCACTTGAACAAATAGAAATAAACACAACACATAGCATGAAGATGTAAAGACTGTTAAAGGGACACGGCCTTGCTGTCGTTCACAGCCCAACCCATTCAAATAACAAACAAACACAATTTGCAGTTGTCATTTGATAATATATATATATATATATATATTCACTTGATATCTTTACTCTGTTAATGGACTGCTCTAACAACCTGTTTACATTTCTGTAATGTAGGTAGCAAAAACTAATGTGATCACTTGTATCGAAAACAGGGCGACCCTTCAAGTGTTGCTAACCGTGGTCTAAATTCTGGCCACCTCATGGTGGAGAGTTATTGTGCTGGCAGTATTTAGAAAGCACTTAATTAAAGCGTTAACTTTTGTTCTATGCGAAAGCATCTATAAAATCACTTGAACAAATAGAAATAAAGACAACACATAGCGTGAAGATGTAAAGAAAGACTGTTAAAGGGACACAAAGGCAGTACTATTTAAATAGGTTCATTTGTTTACATCAAGGAAATAGTGGTGTGCATGGAATAGAAATTTATTTTAACGAAACGATGGTTTAATGGTGCGTTCATGGAGTTATTTTAATTATGAGATTATGACTTGTAAAAACCATCCTTGTAGAACTCGTCAACTTGTCAATTCAGAATCTTCTGAGAACACAGTCTTTAGAATGACACGAAAGCATCATACGGCAGCTCTGTTGCCATGTTTGGCAGAAAAATCTCCAAACATTATTGATGGGAAGACAATTCTATATATACAATGTAAATGTTTTAACTGAGATTGTATTATTTTTCTTTTATGTGTTTTATGTATTGTAATATATGTTTGTATGTTTCTCAGGAGAGATTAATTCTCCTGCCAGGCTGTTATTGAAAATAAGAACTTGTTTAAGGTTAAAGGTTAAATAAATGACATCCTCATTCCATCAACAACCTGTTTTTCCTGTTTGAGGCTTTGCCTATAGGCAGTAAAAGCAGTTTGATCACTTTGATCATAACACAGTTTTTAGCGTTACCTAGCAGTGGTCTAAAGTCCAGCCACCCCATGATTGGGGAGTTATTGAGCTGGTAGTGTTTAGAAAGCATTTACTACGTGAAACTGTTGTTTATTACTGTTGTCCTGTGGTTAAAAGAAAACTTGCATCTACAGTATTTAAAATATCCTGTTTAGCCTGAACAACAACAAAAAAGTGTTTAATGATGTCAGGATATAAAAACCTGTTTTAAAGGGTGTGTTAAAGTGGCATGGTGACATCTGAAACCGGATCAACATGCTGTACCTCAAGCTTTTGTTCACACCCATCCCTTCTATGAAAATGATCTTTTCTTTTGTGATCAACTTTTTATTGTTTAAATCAACAAAACAACATCCACTCAAACAAACAACAGGGAAGGGGGAACAACAGATACACCATCAACAATTTCAACATCAATCTGTAGCAAAAGGAACAAAACAGAATTCACATGAGTCCACAGACCGACAACATCTGGACATTCCCAAAACATGTGGAGAAAAGTACCTGCTGAGTGCTGATACAGATATGACAGTTATAGGTTGATTGCAGTTTCATTTCAAACCTCTTGTAAGGAGTTATGTATGCTCTATGGATGACTTTGAAATGGATAAGACGATGAGCCAAGTTTTTAGAAGTTAAGATTAGATTAGACCACACCCTCCCCCAGTCAACCGATAAATCAATATCTGTTAATTCACGATTCCAGATAGATTCAATAGAAAGAGGCTTTGCAGTGTGATCACCAAGTTCACTATATACTAAAGAAACAAATGGCCGACCAGAGGGTGGTGTGATCCAATCCCACATAGGATGAGAGGAAATAGGGGATGCCCAGGGAACTCCATAGGCCTTGAGAGCAGAACGTAACTGAAAAAAAGACAAAATATGATGATGCTGGTAAACAAAACTTAGCTCTTGAAGTGAGTAGAGCCCCTGGTTATCATACAAGTCACCGCATGTGTCTTTGCCCAATGTAGACCAAGAGGGCTGGACAAATGGCCGACTTCAACACAAAAAACTAAAGTTGTGCCATAAGGGTGTGTTGTTACAAAATCCGAAAGGTCCTCCCATCAGACGTTCCACCCTTTTTAGAAAAAAAAAGTGAAGTCCTTAGATGTAGTATTCTGGATTCTCCAAAGATCGATTACATTAAGTTCAGTGATATATTTATTCAGTAACTTAGAGGATGGGTTAGCTGTAGTATCAGGGTGAGATTTATCCAGTGCAGGATTTAAGACAGCATTAAAATCACCACCCATCACTAAAGGACAATCAATCTGTTCTAGTAATATATTGGAAATATTTGTGAAAAATGCGCTGTCTGCCTCATTCGGGCAGTAAATGGAGACCAGTGCTAACCTGTCATTATGTATTTTACAGCGTATAAAAACAAACCTACCTTCATCATCATTCCCGGTATGTTCAATAGTTAAATGTAACTTCCTATCGACTAAGATAAGCACCCCCTTAGTTTTATTATGAGCACAAGAGAAGGCTGCCAGTTTGTAATACTTGTTATGAAAACGTGTCACATCGCATTGTTTTAAATGAAACTCTTGTATCACGGCACAGGAAATCGATTTATGGTGCAAATATTCTAAAATCCGGCTTAATAGGAGAATTTAGGCCATTCACATTAAATGATAAGATATTCAGAACCTGCATTGTGTGCTCTCAATGTCCAGATTATGTCTACTTGAAGAGAAACAAAAGTAATGCCATACTGCCAGTGACATGTAAACATTAGTATGTATCCTAGATACCAATCCATCTAGATGCATAATCCTTTTAAAAGAAAAGCAAAATAAATAAAAGTATTGATGTCTGTTGAAGGGCATAGAAAGAAGAAGAAAAAAACAAGGAACGACAAACAACTCTGTACAAAAGCCAAAGCAGACCGCACATTACCGAGAGTGTAGGTCTGCATAGACAACAGAAACAAATGTTGATGCGTGACCAGTCCACATCAACGCAAGACATGTCCCCAAAAGGCCCACTGAGCCAAAAGCGTAGTGATTGAACCTGCTCTCCATCAGCCCGAATAATAATAATAAAAATAAAGAAAATAAATCATTATTATTTACCAATCAGTGGACGAACGTACAGGGCAGGGGCAAGATTCCAAAAAGAAATTAACAAGTGTCAATGGCCAGCTTGTTATTGTTCTCTTCAGGGCAGTTAGGATCACCACAGACCTCATCGTTAATTTTCCCTTGTTGAGCTGAAAGGATTTAGAAGGCAGCCCCCCCTCACGTGTCTGCTTTGCTGCGTTGGTTAGCTTTTCAACTTCTGCTTTTAGCTCTTTTACAGAATCGTTGGTCGTTTGTATATCTAAATGTAGATCACGGAGTGCTGGGGTCAGTACAGAGTCTATCGCTTCTCTTACAGTCGAAACCACAACCGAATCGAGTGTACTTTGTTGCTCTTTAAGCGCTAGCTTGATACCGTTAGCTATAGCAGTGTCCAGATCTTCTCTAGAGATGGTGGACTCTTTGAATTTTTTCTTCATTGGCGATTGTTCACTCTCTCTTTTCCGGCTGTCCTTGACTGCTGGGGTACTCATAGTGAGCTAAATAAAGAGTGGTTAAACATTTACTGAGAGGATATATACAATTTCTGACAAAGTGAGCAGAGCGAAGGACTATGCGTGCATTGCCGCCAAAGGGTCACGTCATCTCGATGAAAATGATCTTTGATTTAATAGAAGAATCTTGTCCTTCAGCAATGACTCAACTGACATTTGTCATTACAGAAAACTTGACATACTGAACCTGTGCAGAATACATGATGCAAAAGGTAAGAAATGGGCTGATTTAAGAAGTTTTCAAAAGTTACTTAACTACTGAAAATGAACCATTGCTTACATTGCTTACATATTATACATTAGTTGTACTACTAGTGAATACATTAAATGCTTATTTTAATGCTTATTTGAAAGAACTGGAGTACTGAAATAATAAGACACATGAAATAACCCAATGCATTTAATTGCTGTGCAACCAATAAACCACACATGAATTCTGTCCCTTTATGTGGCAAGTCAGACTAACATCTATTAACGCTTCACAAATTTAACTCTTAATATATATATATATATATATATATATATATCTTTTTTGTTGTTGTTGTTATTTATCATCAAATTTTGATATAATGCTACATTGAAATCTATATCTATATCTATGTTAATCAAATAAATATTCAAATTATTATTATTTTCAAAAATTAAAAAATAAATAAAAATCCCGTACTGATTTGTAAAAATGTATATTGTTGCTCCAGCCAGAACAACAAAACATTGAATTTATTTCATGTTTAGTTATATTTATTCTGTTCTGTTTCTTCAGGCATACCATTTTTATTCTACACCACAGGAAGCCCTTTGACTGCAATATAATATGCAGGTAAATGAGCTTAATTTCTTTTAACAGTTAAAGGTGTCTGCATTAAGCTGCAAATATTAACATTTGAAAACTTGTTTTTCAATGTGGTTCTACTCAGGCATTGACATGAAATCATTAAAAGCCATTCATTTTTCGAATTTTTATATGATGCCACATTGTTTTGAAATCTATATCTTATCCTTAAACTTTGAAAGGAAATATCAAGTACAAAGTGCTATTGTTAAAACCAACCCCACTGCCGCAGGGAGAGTTGTGACAGTGGGTGGGGTAGATTAAAAATAATAAATGTTGTTTCAAACCTGTATGGCTCTTTTTTTTTTTTTTTTTTCATGGTTTCATGTATGTATGTACATATGTATTTATTTATTTATTTCATTTAGGATTTACATTTAGCGTGTGGTTTTTACATTTTTCAAACCCAGACTCTTTCTGTGCAGTCCAATCAGTAGGCATGCGACAGTATCACATTTTCATCTTGTGGTAATTGCTAAAGCTTTTATCACGGTATTCGGTATTATCACAATATTGAAATTTAGTTGCAAATACATAATACAGTATAACAGGTTTAATAACTTATCTTATAACAAAAAGAACATAACATTTAATTACAGTAAAGCAATACACAAAAATGTATAAAGTAAACAAAATGTTCAAACAGATTAAATTGCAAAAGAATAATAAAGAGCAATAGGTAACACTTTACAATAAGGTAAGTCTCATTAGTTAACCTTAGATAATGCATTAACATTAACAATGAGCAATAGCTACATTTGTTCATTAAATAATAAAGTTATAACTTTTGATTTTATAACATTTCTGCTGTTCCATCAGCTGTCAGAGAGTGAATGTGCGCTTTCATCCAGAGTGTCTCCTTCACTCGTTCTGCCATGCGCTTCTCATCCGTGCGCATGCGTCTGTGATGTAGCATACAGTGGTGTTGTGCATTTTAACCAGCTGATTGGAAAAGTATCCTTAAAATGCGTTCAAAAATCAGAATAATTTGTAATAAAGAATTATCTGTGGTATTTTGAAGTGCCTGGTAACAATATTGTGCATATTAATTATTGTGATATATCGAATTACCGAAAACCTATGGACTAAATTGATAACTTCGTAAATGTTAATAAGTTTATTCTGACCGAGCTGTCCACACAACCTCTTTATTATCTGTCTGCAACTAGTAAAAAAAAAAAAAAAAAATCATGATAAACTAGTGAACAAACATGATCTGCATCAAGCTTTTGATACAATAATTCATTACCAATTATACAACAGTTTCTTACAATATGCAATTGTTCATTTTCTTTAAGAAAAACGAAGATGAAATCGCTGTGTCATCTGACCGTCCGGTGGACATCAAAGACTGGAATGAAGACCATGTGAGACAATGGCTGCTTGAGATAAAAGTGGACAAAGAAGGGGCTGACATTTTGTATAATGAGAAAATGAATGGAGCTAGTCTTCTCCTCTTGGAGATGTCTCACCTCACAGAACTACACCTGTCAATGAATGCAAAAATACTTATTATTAACAACATAGATCTTCTGAAACAAAAGAATCAGCAGCAGAATGACATGGTGACTAAGTCTTATAGCTTAAAGCCTTACCCTTTCAATAGATTTAATGCTGCTCACAGGTACAGAGAAAACAGCATTCTAGATGTGACTGAAACTGGTCCTAAAGACTTCATACAACCATGCCATGAATTCAAAGGATTCACAAACACAGCAGAAAAGGACAGAATGAAAAAATACACGTATGAAGTCATTCGATTTGCAGCAGCTTGTATGAATAGTCGCACAAATGGCACCATTCATTTCGGAGTGGCAGACAAACCTCATGGACAAATTCTGGGTATTAGTGTCCAGAACACAGATACTTTTGATGTAAAACAGTCACATGCAATTAAAACGCATTTCAAAAGGCATCACAAGCAGGACAACAAGCAGGTTCAAATAGCAAAGAGGTGCATTAAACCCCCTCGATTTGTTGAAGTTCTCAAAGCTGACATGACATCTACAGGAAAATATGTTATTGAGGTAGACATCGAGCCATCCTCCATAGTCTGTGATGGCCGTTACTTTAACACTTATAATGTAGTCAAAAAGCCCACAGCTGGAGAGAGGAAGAAGGATGATGGCAAGTCTTTTTTCATAAGAGACAGCAGCAGCAGCGATGATCTTATTACATCTAATTCCTTGAAGGAATATGAGAAATACATAAAAGACATGCCACATTTGTCCCAGTTGCGGAAGGATGCTGAAGAAAACCATCTCTCTGTTGTCAAAAGCAGTGTGCAAGGCTCTAAACTGTGTGAGATGATAACAGGAGGGACGCAATCTTTGGACAGGTCACACTTTGCATGGTACATTGTGGTGGCTAACAAGTCCCATCCTGTTCAGTTGGAAAACCTGCGGTTCCTTCTTCACATGGATCTAGTTGCTGTTTTAGATTTTGATCCAGAATCTGCTGAAAGCGGCTTGAATAAGCTGTTTGAAGAGAGAAAAACCAATCTTCACACGCCAGCTCAGTATAAAATCACTGGTGCATTTGAAGACACAGCAAACAAGTTAAAGCTGACCAAAAATACAAGCTGGATTTTATGTAATGGGGACATTAAAGACAAAAGCCCCTCTGATGCTGATAACTGGCCAATTGAGAAGGGATCTTCAGTGCGTGATGTAGTTTCTTTCCTGTGCAGAAAAGATGTGCTGCCTCACAAGAAATTTCTCACCATTTTCTTGCTGTTAAGTCAGGTGAGTGATGGAAAAGACCCTTTACTTGAGACCTTCAATATGTTTTTACAGGAGCTCAAGGGAAGAAACCAAATCTTATGCATCAGTGATAGTAAAACCTCATACGACTACTGGAAGGAACTCATTGAGCAACGATATCAAGTTGACATCTCAACAAGATGCATTTATGAGCTGAGTTTTGTTGAGGTCAATGGCACTGTGCTCAGTCTGTGGTCAGAGAATCGCAAATCAAGCCGCTTTCTGCCTTGTGGTGGTGGCAGTAATGTTGTGCTCTCAAAGAAAACTGAGGACTCCTTAGAAACGTTGAATGTTCTTTGTGTGAACCAATGTGATGGAGGAAATGAGGACAAACGAGAACATGAGGAGATATTTTACAAGGGAGGGAAGGTGTCTTGGTGGAACTTCTACTTCTCAGAACAGCCTAGGTCAATGCCATTCATTAAACGTGACAAATTTAACTACATTGTCAATACTATTATTCCAGACATATGCAGTCGGAAGAGAGTGTGTGAGTTTTTCAGCATCTTCCATCTTCCAGGCTGCGGTGGCACTACATTAGCCATGCATGTTCTTTGGACACTCAAGGATAAATTTCGTTGTGCAGTGTTAAAAGACACTACAGATGATTACACTACCATAGCTGAACACGTAGTGCAGCTACTAACATATGAGACAAAAGACCAACCTCCACAAATTAGTGTTTTGCTCATGATTGATGATTTCCAAGACATTTCTGACGTAAAGAAACTCCAAAATCAAATTGAGGAGCAATATCTAAAGAAAGACATTTCTTCAAAATCATCACAAGTCATAATTGTCAACTGCATGAGAGCTGAATTGAGAGAACAAACTGAAGGAACTGATGATGCAGTTTTCATTGGAAACAATTTATCTGAAAAAGAACAGAAACTGTTTGAGGAAAAGCTAAATGAGTTTGATGATACCGATACAAATACTACAACATTTTATGGATTTATGATTCTAAAGAAAGAATTTTCATCGCAATATATTCAGGGTGTTGTGGAAAAAACCCTGAAGGACTTCAACTATGAACAAAAACATGCTCAACTTTTTGCTGTTATTGTCCTTTTGCATGTCTACTGCAAAACTGCATCACTGTCAGTCTCTACATGTGAAGAGTTCCTTGGTCTGCAAACAAAACCAGACTCTAAAGTTGAAGATGGATTTAAGCAGCTTTCCACTCTTTTGACAAGATGCACAGTTGATTCCAAAGTTACCTTTGAGGGTGTGAGGGTGATTCACCCAAGTATAGCTCAACACTGTTTGAAAGAATTTTCCACTTTATCTCCCAAAGTGACAAAGGCAGACATCACTAATCTCCTGCTCACAACAGACCTATTTTATGAGTACTCATTGGGGAAACAAAAAATAAAGCAGGATGTACACAACATATTGATGAGAAGGCAGGACTCAATCTCAGCTCGCCTCAATTTTTCACCTCTTATCCAAGATATAATGAAAGAGACACCGGGTGATGTAGAGACTGTTCTAGAAAATGCAGCAAACTGCTACAGCAAGGATGCAGTAATATTCCAGCTCCTTGCCAGGTACTATATCAAACAACAAGACTTTAAAGAGGCCATGGAATGGGCAATGAAAGCTAAAGACCATTCAAGTGACAACTCATACATATGCGATACAGTATCACAGATATTAATACATCAGCTGAAGCAAGCTTTTGATGAATATGTTCCCATGAAGCCAGACAGTCTTGAGAAGTATCTTAAATTGGCTGAGTCTGCAAAAAAAGCGTGCAAGGAAACACAACAGACAGCAGAAAAAGAGGTGAAGGGACCAAAAAATTATAGTATCTACAACACTGCTGGCCATGTTGGTGAACTTCTAATTGCCACTGTTGTCATGGAAATACTGCAAAGGACATCACTGTTTAACTCAGATGAGAAATGCAACAACTGCCTTGGCCAAGTCCTCATGGGTAAAATTAGAATGGAAGATTTGCCAAGAGAGAACAATAAACTCGAGCCATATTACCATGTATTGCAGAAGCATAAAATATATCTTCTTCAACTAAAAGACATGATGAGGAAACATTTTGATTTTCTTGACAATGTTTTTGTCAATTCAGTACCATATTTTGGAGGCAAAGACAAACATAAAGAACTGACAAAGCCCAAGATTTCCAACTGTTTTCAACAGTACACTGACCTCTTTTGTAACATAAATTGGAGTGAGCTAGTCAACAAAGAGCACATGAATCGCATGGTTAAAATTGAGCAGACGCGTCAATGTCTGGAGAGGAACAAGGGTGATTCCTATACTGGTCTTCTGGAATATTTATATAAAGAAGACTCTGCATCAACTCTTGAAGAGATCATCCAACAGTATTGTTTCATTCTGAATCCCAGAGAAGAGGCCAGACTGATGGACACTGTCAACTTTATTTATGCCAATGTAATTCTGGCCAACATCAACCCAGATTCTCAGTACATCGAGCCATACCAACACCTTAGTCAATTACTTCTTCAAACAATCAACTGCTCGATATCATTTAGTGAGCATCTACCACTGTCCTACATTGCTGTTTTGTTATTGTGGCAAGAGACCAAACGTAATTTACCACGTTTTGTGTCACAAAGGAAGTCATCGTACTCAACTGAGCTGAAACCAGAATTTAATGGAAAGAGAGCAGCTGTCCATTTTTACTTAGGGAAGGATGAAGGTTACGGTGGCCTGATTTCCCATAGGGACATAAACAGCTGTTTAGGATCAGGGCAGAACTTCTCAACTCAGTGGAATGATGAAAAAATATGGAAACAAGTGAGAGACAGCAACAAACTTTGCAGAGTTTTTGGTGAAATTTGTGATGGATTTATCAGCGTTGAAAATGTGAAGGTATATCCAATGTTCAGATGCCAGTTACGTAAAAAATCTGGCACAAGAGTGTCATTCTTCATCGGATTCTCAATGAATGGACCAGTTGCACTTGACATAGACTGAGTCATAAGGTTCACAAGCCTGATCTAATACATCTTATGACTGGAGAAACATGAATGAGAAAGCATTCAGAATTCTTGTTTAAAACTAAGACACTGAAGTCAAAGGAGCTCATGGACCAAAGCCCTGTGGTTATTCTTACACATTATTTTGGTTGGCCTCATTATTATAGCTTCATTATTATATGATTATTATATAAATAAATCAACCAATCAATCAATTAATCTACTACTCATTAATACTGCATGTTTTTGTGAATGATTGATGTGTGTAAATAAGGCATACCTGATGAGCACAGCGACTCCAGCGTTCTCGCGGTTCTCGTAGACGGGTCTCCACGTGTCCTGGATCACACAGACGTCGTCCTCGGTGAGAGTCTCAGGGCTCTGTGTGAGCTCCACACCTCCGTCTCCCTCCATCCAGACGCTCGCTGAGAAACACTTGAGCTGTGTGTGTGCTCCTGCCGGGGTCTTTATTTCTGTCTCCTCAAGAGTCTGATGAAGAGTTACTGCTGAATGAAGAAGATCCTCCCACCCGCTTCCCTTTATCTCTCTCTCTCTCTCACTCACTCGCTCACACACTCATGTTCTCCTCTTAACTCACAATCACACCTTTCTACTCCGGTTACTTGTTTTATTTTTTTCTCACACTCTTGCATCCGTCTGCTGCCCACCCACAGGAAAGACAACAAACAAGATCTCTATAATATCTCATTTGTTTCTCCTGGACAGCAAGGGTTGAGTTCTTCTAGAGTTCCAGAAGAGATCTTAACTCAAATACCTAAATCTGCAATCTAAAGTTTTGTTTTTTTTGTCTTGTTTTATAGAAAAACATCTACATGTCCTTAAACGAGACACAGAACCAAAATTACCCATCTCCTTAAATATCTTTAAAATACAGTTCACCCAAAAGTGATTTTACTTCATTCCAAGACTTACTTTCTTCTGTGGAGCACAAGATGATGGTGTTTTTGAAGGTTTATGAGGTTTTCAATGAAAGTCAGTTGGGTTCAGTGTTAGGTCATTAATGTTCTTTAAAACATCTTTCATGTTCCACAGAAGAAAGAAAGTCTAACAGGTTTGGAAATTACATGAAGGCACGTAAATTATTTTTGGTTGAACTGTTTCTTTATGGAGTTTGTCTTCTCTCTGAGTGCTCTGTAAGGGTACACTGAAAATATGTATGCAGTGTTTTTGATAGAAGTCTCTTCTGCTCACCAAGGCTACAGTTATTTGATAAAAAATAATTGTGAAATAGTATTACCATTTCAAAAAATCTTTCTATGTAAATATATTGTAAAATCTAATTTATTTCTGTGATGAAATCTGAATTTTCAGCATCATTACTCCAGTCTTCAGTGTCACATGATCCTTCAGAAATGAATATGTTGATTTGCTGCTCAAGAAACATTTCTGATTATTGTTGAAAACAGTTGTGCTGCTTCATATTATTGTGCAAACCCTGAATTTTTTTCAGGATTCTTTGAATAGAATAGAAAGTTCAAAGAACAGCATTTACTGTATCTGAAATCATAAACATCATAAATGTATTTACTATCTATCTCTTTGGATCCATTTAATGTATCCTATAATTGTAAGGTCTTTATCTCAATCTGAACTGCTTGTATAACACTAAGTGAAATATTGCATATGCTGCATGTGACCCCATTGGCCCCAAATATTTCTCACGAATGCATACCAACCATATATCAGCGCTTTGCTGCTGAAATATGAACTGTATGGATTATATGAGTGTGGGTGTATAAGGTCAGGAATCTAAATGAAAGCAGATGTGTGTATGTTGAAGAGACATCCCAACCCTGAGGCCTGTGAGACATCATTACAGATTCGTTACAGTTTTTATCATAATCCTTCTTTTCATACTCAACTTATGAAGAGCAATTACACAGTCAGTAATTTTTATGTTAAAGCTTAAGTTGTACATTGACATTTTAGTGCACTTGACAGAACAAGTCTGAAAAGACTGAAAGTTGTTTAGTTGTTACAGAGTTTCGTAAAACATCAGGTCTGCTCATAGCCATTTGAGTGGATTCAATGCCTAGGCCAGTGGGTGTACAATGGTACAGGAGGGATATTACAGATCAGGCGTGCATTTCCCAAAAGCAACTATGGTCGCAAGTTCTGTCGTTACCAATAGAGTTCAATGGAATAAACCACCATAGTTAGCTAACGATGCTTTTGGGAAACGCACCCCAGGTTAGTCTACTCATCACACTTCCATTTTCACATACTACACACTAGGGGGCAGTATGGTGTTTACCTCCTGGCACACAGGTACAGGTGGTGGTGGTGGAGGGAGGAGTTATGAAAAAGGATGAAGTAAGTTTGGGCGTAGTTCAGGTCAGCACATCATTAGACGGTTATCATCACCGACACCCTTGATGAATGACAAATACAAGAGGGAGCTGAGCGAGGTAAGAACACATTTGAACAAAATGATAGATGTGTGAAAGATTTTATGATTGGATCATTTAGGACCTTAAAACCGTGTTGTTGATATGTTTTGGAGGACGTGTGGCAAATGCAAATGACTAATGCAAATGTCAGGAAGTCCAGGATCTAGTTGCACTAGTTAGCCCTTGATCCTGTATTTATTTGTTTGTTTTATTGCCTACAAGTTTGAAGGGAATGTTGGTGTTAAATGCTTATGGTGTTAAACAGCATCCATACATGCATATCTCCAGGTGTGCCAGTACAGTTAAATGTGGTGCCTGTGTTACATGGTATGCCAATGTAAGAACATTTTTTTCCAACTTTTTCCAATAGATTTTGGGACCCTGCTGGGTTTTTTTTGCACTTCCGTGTCTGCAATGATTATGCATGTAGAATCATTAATTACAATTATTTCTTGCCTTGCTGTCGTTCACAGCCCAACCCATTCAAATAACAAACAAACACAATTTGCAGTTGTCATTTGATAATATATATATATATATATATATTCACTTGATATCTTTACTCTGTTAATGGACTGATCTAACAACCTGTTTACGTTTCTGTAATGTAGGTAGCAAAAACTAATGTGATCACTTGTATCGAAAACAGGGCGACCCTTCAAGTGTTGCTTACTGTGGTCTAAATTCTGGCCACCTCATGGTGGAGAGTTATTGTGCTGGCAGTATTTAGAAAGCACTTAATTAAAGCGTTAACTTTTGTTCTATGCGAAAGCATCTATAAAATCACTTGAACAAATAGAAATAAAGACAACACATAGCGTGAAGATGTAAAGAAAGACTGTTAAAGGGACACAAAGGCAGTACTATTTAAATAGGTTCATTTGTTTACATCAAGGAAATAGTGGTGTGGATGGAATAGATATTTCTTTTCACTAACCAACTTGCCTAAAACGATGGTTTACTGGTGCGTTCATGGAGTTATTTTAATTATGAGATTATGACTTGTAAAAACCATCCTTGTAGAACTCGTCAACTTGTCAATTCAGAATCTTCTGAGAACACAGTCTTTAGAACGACACGAAAGCATCATACGGCAGCTCTGTTGCCATGTTTGGCAGAAAAATCTCCAAACATTATTGATGGGAAGAAAATTCTATAATGCCATACAACAATGACATTACTACACATAAGTAGCCTACAACAGAGATGCAACACAGCATTTACATGCAACCGAATAATCCGTTTGTAATCGATTGAGAGTGCGTGTAAACACTCGATCGGATTGAACCCCGAAACTGAAAGCACTGCGCATGTGCAATGACGCAGAACTAGCGTAATGACGTATGACGCGCGGAACGAACATCAACCCGATCACTTTCTTTAGCGTTCATGTAAACACTACATTCAGATCCATCGATCTACTCAGGTGTTGACATGAAATAACCAAAGCACTCCAGTGTTGCAAAACCTAAAAACAACATACGAATTCTGTTCCTTGATGTGGCAAGTCAGACTAAAAAAATGTTTCAGCTTTATTTATAAGGTAAATGTTATTTAAGGGAAGACCGGTGAAGGTTGTGGCAGTTCTTGCTTTAAGTTCTTTCTTTTTTCTTTTTCTTTTTTTTTTGAATTGTGAATTTATCCCTCAAAATTGTTTCATAATCTGTAACTTATCCCTAAACTCTGACAGTTATTGTCAAACACATCTATCACTTTAACATTTAATAGCCAGAAACATTGTGCATTACAAGTCAATTGTGCATTACATTGTGCATTTCAAGTCACATGGTTTGTAATTCATTTATCTGTCATTTTTAACATATTTACTTAATTACAACTTTTCAAGTCTTACATAAAGGGTGAGCAAATTGGTTCTACCATTTAATTATTGCATGTTTGCATGCATTCATCATATTAGGGATTTCCTGGCATGTCATAAATGATTACTTCTGAATCCATTTTCGACTTTCTCTAGGAGAGCGCCCTCAGGCTTCAGTATGAATGAAGCATACACTGCATGAGAGTGTTGAGTGCTTCATCATGTTCACAATGCCTCATTCTGGATATGAATAAAAATATCAGGTCATGCACAGATTATCCTGTCTCTTTACATTTAAATCAAGATTTATTCACACCGTGAGTAATACGTGTTATTTACACATGAATTTATGTATTACTATGTGGGGGTGTGTCCCCCACGCCCCCCACATATTCTACTTCCATGTCTCCAAGGGTTTCAATTATTTAAAAAAAATCCGATATCATTTTTACATTGCAGTTCGCATTTGATTTCATTTAAAGTGATTTTATATCCCAGTTTAGCTCCTATTTATCTGCGAACACAATGTCATGAGACTTAAGTTGATGTCTGCGTCTTTTGGAGTTTATTGTGCTTTTAATAACCCAAGTCAAGCTCAATATTTTCTCATTCATCCATTAATCTCTTAATTGCTCATGTCACTAACTTTTAAGCAGTCCTGTCAACTGAAAGCTGCATGGATATATTTACACATTTCTTCACATTAAGACATTACAGTATGTTGTTCAGTAGCAGAACACTTCTTGAATGTTTTTTTTTTTACCAAATATCTTAGAATGTGTTGGAACTGATGAATAATAAAGTGATTTTGTTTCATGTATTTTCATTTTTAATGGATTTTTCCATTGAATACATTTTTCCATTGGCACTACGGATAACATTCGATTGAGCTAATGTTCGTAAACTTTGGTGCGCTTCAAATGATATATGAATGCAGCACGGACCAAAGACAGTATAAGGGACCCTAAAAAGGACGAAATGCTCAAGCATACCTGGTACTTCTCATCATATGAGCTATGTTGCCCATTATTGTTCTGTACAGGCGTCGGAACCATTGTCTCCTTGCAGTAGATCTTCACATGTGCAATGGAGTATGTTCACAAATTATACATCATAAAAACTGTCCAATCAGTTTGTGACCATATCTTTATACCTTTTGTTTTGTATCTTTAGTTTTGATGTTAAAAATAACATTGTGAACACTAAGCAATCCAGGACTATGTATCCTTTACTTTTTTGCTCCTGACCAGAAGAGAACCAAACTACAAGTGTAAACTCAGAAATCACCCCAAAAACATTTGAGTTAGAGATGTCTGATTTTTTTACGGTGTAGGTGTAGGGGTGGAATTAGGATTAAACAGTAGCAATCTGGCAGGAAGTCAAATTTTGGCACAACAATGGTATTAAATACTGCTAAAGCACAATGAATGATATCAAGATAATAAATAATAAATTAGATTTTGTTACTTGCTAATCCCCTGCCAAACCCTGACACTAGCACCTAGCATTAAATTTGACTAATTGTCTTTCTCTCACATTTCCTCTCTCTCCCTACATGCATGTGTGTATAAGAGAAAGGAAGGGGGAGCTTATTTTCATATAAATAAATGATATAATGGAAATTAAAACGAATACGAGGGATAATAAAAATAAATCATGATTGAAATTTTAAAACTTGCCTATTTTCTGGTCACCCTATGTGGTTCTCATTCAGGCTACTGTACATAGGATGATACATGATTAATAATTTTTCATGTCTAAACATGATCAAATTTTAAATTAAATGCATTACATAATTTTTTACTTTAAAATGACTCCGCAAGGTGGTGGTCATGTATGCCAGAAGTTTCTTCATTCTGGCTAATCTCAACTGACTGTGTTTCAACTAATCCCATGTTACAACCATTTCTGGTCTCCCCAATATTACAATGATGCACTGTGTTTTGATGCCATTTCTACGTTTCTTATTTGAAGGGTTTCTGATTCCAGTATGGAAGCCTCAAGACATTTAGAGGTAAGTAGCACAGGAGAGGTCAACATATTTCTTATAACATAATTTGTAGTATTCGTTGTAAAAATGCATTAACCCACAAATAACCATTATCAAATCTACATTTTTCTGTATACAGTATACATAATTAATTATTGATTATAAATCAGGTTTTTTTTCCAAACTATGTTCCTGTTTGCTAATGCTCTTTTTCCCCCAGAATAATGAGGAAATCACTGTGTCATCTGAATGTCCAGTGGACATCAAAGAGTGGAATAAAGACCATGTAAGACAATGGTTGCTCGAGATAAAAGTGGACAAAGAAGATGCAGATATTTTGTATAACGAGAAAATTAATGGATCTGGTCTTCTCCACTTGAAGATGTGTAATCTCACAGAACTACACCTGTCAATGAATGCAAAAGCACTGATACTTGTCAACGTAGATATTTTGAAACAAAAGACTGACATGGTGACTAAACCTTATAGCTTAAAGCCTTACCCTTTCAATAGATTTAATGCTGCTCACAGGTACAGAGAAAACAGCATTCTAGATGTAACTGAAACCGGTCCTAAAGACTTCATACAACCATGCCATGAATTCAAAGCCTTCATCAACACAACAGAAGAAAATAGAGTGAAAAAATACACGTATGAAGTCATTTGCAGCAGCTTGTATGAATAGTCGCACAAATGGCACCATTCATTTCGGAGTGGCAGACAAACCACATGGACAAATTCTGAGCATTCGTGTTCAGAACACAGATATTTTTAATGTACAACAGTCACATGCAATTGAAAAACATTTCAAATTGGAAAGGGCCATTAAAATAGCAAAGAGGTGTATAAAACCCCCACGATTTGTTGAAGTTCTCAAGGCCGACATGACATCCACAGGAAAGTGTGTTATTGAGGTAGACATCGAGCCATCCTCCATAGTCTGTCAAGAATGCCTAGGACCTAAATACATAGCAGATATGTTCACTGAATATAAATCTAACAGACCACTCAGATCATTAGGATCGAGTCAGTTAGAAATACCAAGGGTTCACACAAAACAAGGCGAGTCCGTTTTTAGTTATTATGCCACCCGCAGTTGGAATCAGCTTCCAGAAGAGATCCAATGTGCTAAAACATTAGTCACATTTAAATGCAGACTCAAAACTCATCTGTTTAGCGGTGCATTTATTGAATGAGCACTGTGCAACGTCCAAACTGATTGCACTACATTTTATGTATAATCATTTTCTATTCTTAACTGTTTTAAATTCATTTTAAACCTCTTAAATTAATTTTGTAATCATTTTCAAAGTTTTTAAATTCCTTGTTTTATTGTTGTGATTTTTTTAAATTCTTTTCTTTTATGTAAAGCACTTTGAATTACCATTGTGTATGAAATGTGCTATATAAATAAACTTGCCTTGCCTTGCCTAATGACAATTTTATTATTTGGTTATATAACATTTTTATCACAGAAGAAGGCAGAATAGTTTCTATCTGAAATGCTATTTCAATTAGCACTGCATTATTCATATATTTTATTACCTGGAGGTGACTAGAAAAACACCCATAAACCATTTATTGTCGCACCCATGTGTTTAATGTCTTCACGTTTCACCAGTCACAACGTTTCTGCTTTTTATTCAGCTTATAGATAGCGGGATTCTTTTGTTCATATTAGGGATTTCCTGGCATGTCATAAATGATTACTTCTGAATCCATTTTCGACTTTCTCTAGGAGAGCGCCCTCAGGCTTCAGTATGAATGAAGCATACACTGCATGAGAGTGTTGAGTGCTTCATCATGTTCACAATGCCTCATTCTGGATATGAATAAAAATATCAGGTCATGCACAGATTATCCTGTCTCTTTACATTTAAATCAAGATTTATTCACACCGTGAGTAATACGTGTTATTTACACATGAATTTATGTATTACTATGTGGGGGTGTGTCCCCCACGCCCCCCACATATTCTACTTCCATGTCTCCAAGGGTTTCAATTATTTAAAAAAAATCCGATATCATTTTTACATTGCAGTTCGCATTTGATTTCATTTAAAGTGATTTTATATCCCAGTTTAGCTCCTATTTATCTGCGAACACAATGTCATGAGACTTAAGTTGATGTCTGCGTCTTTTGGAGTTTATTGTGCTTTTAATAACCCAAGTCAAGCTCAATATTTTCTCATTCATCCATTAATCTCTTAATTGCTCATGTCACTAACTTTTAAGCAGTCCTGTCAACTGAAAGCTGCATGGATATATTTACACATTTCTTCACATTAAGACATTACAGTATGTTGTTCAGTAGCAGAACACTTCTTGAATGTTTTTTTTTTTTTACCAAATATCTTAGAATGTGTTGGAACTGATGAATAATAAAGTGATTTTGTTTCATGTATTTTCATTTTTAATGGATTTTTCCATTGAATACATTTTTCCATTGGCACTACAGATAACATTCGATTGAGCTAATGTTCGTAAACTTTGGTGCGCTTCAAATGATATATGAATGCAGCACGGACCAAAGACAGTATAAGGGACCCTAAAAAGGACGAAATGCTCAAGCATACCTGGTACTTCTCATCATATGAGCTATGTTGCCCATTATTGTTCTGTACAGGCGTCGGAACCATTGTCTCCTTGCAGTAGATCTTCACATGTGCAATGGAGTATGTTCACAAATTATACATCATAAAAACTGTCCAATCAGTTTGTGACCATATCTTTATACCTTTTGTTTTGTATCTTTAGTTTTGATGTTAAAAATAACATTGTGAACACTAAGCAATCCAGGACTATGTATCCTTTACTTTTTTGCTCCTGACCAGAAGAGAACCAAACTACAAGTGTAAACTCAGAAATCACCCCAAAAACATTTGAGTTAGAGATGTCTGATTTTTTTACGGTGTAGGTGTAGGGGTGGAATTAGGATTAAACAGTAGCAATCTGGCAGGAAGTCAAATTTTGGCACAACAATGGTATTAAATACTGCTAAAGCACAATGAATGATATCAAGATAATAAATAATAAATTAGATTTTGTTACTTGCTAATCCCCTGCCAAACCCTGACACTAGCACCTAGCATTAAATTTGACTAATTGTCTTTCTCTCACATTTCCTCTCTCTCCCTACATGCATGTGTGTATAAGAGAAAGGAAGGGGGAGCTTATTTTCATATAAATAAATGATATAATGGAAATTAAAACGAATACGAGGGATAATAAAAATAAATCATGATTGAAATTTTAAAACTTGCCTATTTTCTGGTCACCCTATGTGGTTCTCATTCAGGCTACTGTACATAGGATGATACATGATTAATAATTTTTCATGTCTAAACATGATCAAATTTTAAATTAAATGCATTACATAATTTTTTACTTTAAAATGACTCCGCAAGGTGGTGGTCATGTATGCCAGAAGTTTCTTCATTCTGGCTAATCTCAACTGACTGTGTTTCAACTAATCCCATGTTACAACCATTTCTGGTCTCCCCAATATTACAATGATGCACTGTGTTTTGATGCCATTTCTACGTTTCTTATTTGAAGGGTTTCTGATTCCAGTATGGAAGCCTCAAGACATTTAGAGGTAAGTAGCACAGGAGAGGTCAACATATTTCTTATAACATAATTTGTAGTATTCGTTGTAAAAATGCATTAACCCACAAATAACCATTATCAAATCTACATTTTTCTGTATACAGTATACATAATTAATTATTGATTATAAATCAGGTTTTTTTTCCAAACTATGTTCCTGTTTGCTAATGCTCTTTTTCCCCCAGAATAATGAGGAAATCACTGTGTCATCTGAATGTCCAGTGGACATCAAAGAGTGGAATAAAGACCATGTAAGACAATGGTTGCTCGAGATAAAAGTGGACAAAGAAGATGCAGATATTTTGTATAACGAGAAAATTAATGGATCTGGTCTTCTCCACTTGAAGATGTGTAATCTCACAGAACTACACCTGTCAATGAATGCAAAAGCACTGATACTTGTCAACGTAGATATTTTGAAACAAAAGACTGACATGGTGACTAAACCTTATAGCTTAAAGCCTTACCCTTTCAATAGATTTAATGCTGCTCACAGGTACAGAGAAAACAGCATTCTAGATGTAACTGAAACCGGTCCTAAAGACTTCATACAACCATGCCATGAATTCAAAGCCTTCATCAACACAACAGAAGAAAATAGAGTGAAAAAATACACGTATGAAGTCATTTGCAGCAGCTTGTATGAATAGTCGCACAAATGGCACCATTCATTTCGGAGTGGCAGACAAACCACATGGACAAATTCTGAGCATTCGTGTTCAGAACACAGATATTTTTAATGTACAACAGTCACATGCAATTGAAAAACATTTCAAATTGGAAAGGGCCATTAAAATAGCAAAGAGGTGTATAAAACCCCCACGATTTGTTGAAGTTCTCAAGGCCGACATGACATCCACAGGAAAGTGTGTTATTGAGGTAGACATCGAGCCATCCTCCATAGTCTGTCAAGAATTTTACTTTAAGACTTATAAGGTAGATAAAAATGAATATGAGATGCAAGAGCCCACAACTGCAGAAAGGAAGAAATCATCTTTTTTCATACGAGAGGACAGCAGCAGCAAGGATATTATTACATCTGATTCCTTGAAGGAATATGAGAAATATATCAAAGACATGCCACAGTTGTCCAAGCTGAGGAAGGATGCTGAAGAAAAGCATCTAGCTGTTGTCAAAAACAGTGTGCAAGGCTCTAAACTGTGTGAGATGATAACAGGAGGGACGCAATCTTTGGACAGGTCACACTTTGCATGGTACATTGTAGTGGCTAACAAGTCCCATCCTTTTCAGTTGGAAAACCTGCGGTTCCTTCTTCACATGGATCTGGTGGCTGTTTTGGATTTTGACCCCGAATCTACTGAGAATGGCTTGAAAAAGCAGTTTGAAGAGAGAAAAACCAATGTTCACTTACCAGCTCAATATAAAATTACAGGTGCAGTTGAAGACATAGCAAGCAAGTTCTAATTGTCTTTCTCTCACATTTCCTCTCTCTCCCTACATGCATGTGTGTATAAGAGAAAGGAAGGGGGAGCTTATTTTCATATAAATAAATGATATAATGGAAATTAAAACGAATACGAGGGATAATAAAAATAAATCATGATTGAAATTTTAAAACTTGCCTATTTTCTGGTCACCCTATGTGGTTCTCATTCAGGCTACTGTACATAGGATGATACATGATTAATAATTTTTCATGTCTAAACATGATCAAATTTTAAATTAAATGCATTACATAATTTTTTACTTTAAAATGACTCCGCAAGGTGGTGGTCATGTATGCCAGAAGTTTCTTCATTCTGGCTAATCTCAACTGACTGTGTTTCAACTAATCCCATGTTACAACCATTTCTGGTCTCCCCAATATTACAATGATGCACTGTGTTTTGATGCCATTTCTACGTTTCTTATTTGAAGGGTTTCTGATTCCAGTATGGAAGCCTCAAGACATTTAGAGGTAAGTAGCACAGGAGAGGTCAACATATTTCTTATAACATAATTTGTAGTATTCGTTGTAAAAATGCATTAACCCACAAATAACCATTATCAAATCTACATTTTTCTGTATACAGTATACATAATTAATTATTGATTATAAATCAGGTTTTTTTTCCAAACTATGTTCCTGTTTGCTAATGCTCTTTTTCCCCCAGAATAATGAGGAAATCACTGTGTCATCTGAATGTCCAGTGGACATCAAAGAGTGGAATAAAGACCATGTAAGACAATGGTTGCTCGAGATAAAAGTGGACAAAGAAGATGCAGATATTTTGTATAACGAGAAAATTAATGGATCTGGTCTTCTCCACTTGAAGATGTGTAATCTCACAGAACTACACCTGTCAATGAATGCAAAAGCACTGATACTTGTCAACGTAGATATTTTGAAACAAAAGACTGACATGGTGACTAAACCTTATAGCTTAAAGCCTTACCCTTTCAATAGATTTAATGCTGCTCACAGGTACAGAGAAAACAGCATTCTAGATGTGACTGAAACTGGTCCTAAAGACTTCATACAACCATGCCATGAATTCAAAGGATTCACAAACACAGCAGAAAAGGACAGAATGAAAAAATACACGTATGAAGTCATTTGCAGCAGCTTGTATGAATAGTCGCACAAATGGCACCATTCATTTCGGAGTGGCAGACAAACCACATGGACAAATTCTGAGCATTCGTGTTCAGAACACAGATATTTTTAATGTACAACAGTCACATGCAATTGAAAAACATTTCAAATTGGAAAGGGCCATTAAAATAGCAAAGAGGTGTATAAAACCCCCACGATTTGTTGAAGTTCTCAAGGCCGACATGACATCCACAGGAAAGTGTGTTATTGAGGTAGACATCGAGCCATCCTCCATAGTCTGTCAAGAATTTTACTTTAAGACTTATAAGGTAGATAAAAATGAATATGAGATGCAAGAGCCCACAACTGCAGAAAGGAAGAAATCATCTTTTTTCATACGAGAGGACAGCAGCAGCAAGGATATTATTACATCTGATTCCTTGAAGGAATATGAGAAATATATCAAAGACATGCCACAGTTGTCCAAGCTGAGGAAGGACGCTGAAGAAAAGCATCTAGCTGTTGTCAAAAACAGTGTGCAAGGCTCTAAACTGTGTGAGATGGTAACAGGAGGGACGCAATCTTTGGACAGGTCACACTTTGCATGGTACATTGTAGTGGCTAACAAGTCCCATCCTGTTCAGTTGGAAAACCTGCGGTTCCTTCTTCACATGGATCTGGTGGCTGTTTTGGATTTTGACCCCGAATCTACTGAGAATGGCTTGAAAAAGCAGTTTGAAGAGAGAAAAACCAATGTTCACTTACCAGCTCAATATAAAATTACAGGTGCAGTTGAAGACATAGCAAGCAAGTTAAAGCTGACCAGAAATACAAGTTGGGTTTTCTGTAATGGAGGTATTAATGAGGAAAACCCCTCTGATTCTGACAAATGGTCGATTGAGAAGGGATCTTCAGTGCGTGATGTAGTTTCTTTCCTGTGCCGAAAAGATGTGCTGCCTCACAAGAAATTTCTCACCATTTTCTTGCTGTTAAGTCAGGTGAGCAATGGAAAAGACCCTTTGCTTGAGACCTTCAATATGTTTTTACAAGAGCTCAAGGGAGGAAACCAAATCTTATGCATCAGTGACAATGAAACATCATACACCTACTGGAAGGATCTCATTGAGGGCCGATATGGAGTTGACATCTCAACAAGATGCATTTATGAGCTGAGTTTTGTTGAGGTCAATGGCTCTGTGCTTAGTCTGTGGTCAGAGAATCGCAAATCAAGCCGCTTTGTGCCTTGTGGTGGTGGCAGTAACGTTGTGCTCTCAAAGAAAACGGAGGACTCCTTAGAAACGCTAAGTATTCTTTGTGTGAACCAATGTGATGGAGGAAATGAGGACAAACGAAAACATGAGGAGATATTTTACAAGGGAGGGAAGGTGTCTTGGTGGAACTTCTACTTCTCAGAACAGCCCGGATCAATGCCATTCATCAAACGAGACAAATTCAGCTATATTGTCAATACTATTATTCCAGACATATGCAGTCGGAAGAGAGTGTGTGAGTTTTTTAGCATCTTCCATCTTCCAGGCTGTGGTGGCACTACACTAGCCATGCATGTTTTATGGACACTCAAGGATAAATTTCGTTGTGCAGTGCTGAAGGACACAACAGATGATAATACTACCATAGCTGAACACGTAGTGCAGCTTTTAACGTATGAGACAAAAGAGAAACCTACACAACTTCCCGTTTTGCTCATGATCGATGATTTCCAAGACAGTTCTGATGTAAAAAAACTCCAACTTCAGATTGAGGAGGAATGTTTGAAGCAAAACATTTTTTCAAAGTCTCCACAGGTCATAATTGTCAACTGCATGAGAGCTGAATCCAGTGAACAGACTGATGATGCCGTTTTCATTGGAAACAATTTATCTGAGAAGGAACAGGAACTGTTTGAGGAAAAGCTAAAGGAGTTTAAGAGGACCAACACAAACACTAAAACATTTTATGGCTTCATGATTCTGAAGAATAACTTTTCACCTAAGTATATTCAGGGCATTGTAAAAAATACCCTAAAGGGTTTCAACTTCCAAGACAAACATGCTCAACTTTTTGCTGTTCTCGTCCTCTTGCATGTCTACTGCAAGAAAGCATTACTGTCAGTCTCTACATGTGAAGAGTTCCTTGGTCTGCAAACAAAAGCAGATTTTGAACCCTGCAAGGTCGAAGATGGATTTGAGCGGTTTTCCACTCTTTTGACAAGATGCACAGTTCATCCCAAAATTAGCTTTGAGTGTGTGACGGTGATTCACTACAGAATAGCTCAACACTGTTTGAAAGAACTTTCAACATTGTCGTCCAAAGTAACAAAGGCAGAAATCACTAACCTTCTGCTCACAACAGACTTATTTCATGAGTATGCTCTGGGAAAACAAAAATTAATGCAGGATGTTCACAACATGCTGGTGAGGAGGCAGTATTCGGCTGAGGCTGAAGACTCACTTTTTTCTCCTCTTATCCAAGATATAATGAAGGAGACGCCAGGGATGGAAGAAATCATTCTACAGAATGCAACAAAGTGCTACAGAAAAGATGCGGTAATATTCCAGCTCCTCGCCAGGTACTATTACATCAAAAAAGCGGACTTTACCACAGCCATGAAATGGGCAAAGAAGGCCAAAGGTCTTTCAAAAGACAACTCATACATATGTGATACAGTGTCACAGGTACTTGTACGTGAGCTCAAGCATGAGGTTCACAAAGACAAAGATGACCCCATCAAGCCAGACAGTCTTGAAAAGTATCTTACATTGGCTAAGTCTGCAGGAGAAGCTTGCCAAGAAACCCAACAAACTGCAAACAAAGAGGCAATGACTCGATCGCAAAGACTAAAGGATTATAATACCTACAACACCGCTGGCCATCTTGGTGAACTTCAAACTGCAGCTATTGTCATACAAATACTGCAAAAGACACCACTGTTTAACTGCCTTGGTCAAGTCCTGTCGGGTAAAATTACCTTTGAAGATTTGTTAAGGATGAACGATGAACTCCAGCAATATTACCAAGTACTGCAGAAGCATAAGAGCTATATTCTTCAACTAAAGGGCACAATGAAGAATCATTTTTATTTTCTTGATAATTTTTTTGTTAATTTAGTACCCTTTTTTGCAGAGAAAGACAAACAAAAAGAGCTGACAAAGCCCAAGGTTTCCAGGTACTTTCAACAGTATACTGACCTCTTTTGTAAAATAAATTGGAGTGAGCTGGTCAACAATGAGCACATGAACCGCATGGTTAAAATTGAGCAGACGCGCCAATGTCTGGAGAGGAACAAGGGTGATTCCTATACCGGCCTTCTGGAATATTTATATAAGGGAGATTCGGCATCAACTCTTGAAGAGATCATACAGCAGTATGATTTCATTCGGAAGTGGAAAGAGGCCAGACCGATGGACACCGTCAACTTCACCTATGCCAATGTAATTCTGGCCAACATTAACCCTGAATCTCAGTATATCATGCCCTACCAAGACCTTCGCAACTTACTACTTAAAATAATCGACCACCCCACACCCTTCAGTGAGATCCTGCCATTGCACTACATCACAATTTTATTGTTACGGAAAGAGGAGGACTGTACATTACCACCTTTTGTGTCACAAATGAAGCGGTCATATTTAAAAGACCTGAGACCTGTGTCTAATGGAAAGAGAGCAGCTGTCCATTTTTACTTAGGGAAGGACAAAGGTTACGGTGGCCTGATTTCTCACAGGGATATAAACAGCTGTTTAGGATCTGAGCAGAATATCTCAACTAAATGGGATGATGAAAAAATGTGGAAGCGAGTGAGAGACTGTGAGAAACTTTACAGAGTTTCTGGTCAAATTAGTGATGGTTTGATCAGTGCTGCAGATGTGAAGGTCTATCCGATGTTCAGAAGCCAGTTACCTAAAGAATCTGGCAAAAGAGTGTCATTCTTCATCGGATTCTCAATGAATGGACCAGTTGCGCTTGACATAGACTTTGAGTCATAGGGTTCACAAGCCTGATCAAATGGATCTGACTGATGACCGGAGAAACATGAATGAGAAAACTTGATCATTGCACTACATCACAATTTTATTGTTACGGAAAGAGGAGGACTGTACATTACCACCTTTTGTGTCACAAATGAAGCGGTCATATTTAAAAGACCTGAGACCTGTGTCTAATGGAAAGAGAGCAGCTGTCCATTTTTACTTAGGGAAGGACAAAGGTTACGGTGGCCTGATTTCTCACAGGGATATAAACAGCTGTTTAGGATCTGAGCAGAATATCTCAACTAAATGGGATGATGAAAAAATGTGGAAGCGAGTGAGAGACTGTGAGAAACTTTACAGAGTTTCTGGTCAAATTAGTGATGGTTTGATCAGTGCTGCAGATGTGAAGGTCTATCCGATGTTCAGAAGCCAGTTACCTAAAGAATCTGGCAAAAGAGTGTCATTCTTCATCGGATTCTCAATGAATGGACCAGTTGCACTTGACATAGACTTTGAGTCATAGGGTTCACAAGCCTGATCAAATGGATCTGACTGATGACCGGAGAAACATGAATGAGAAAACTTGATAGATTTCCAGTTTAAAACGAAGACACTCGAGTCAAAAAGGAGCTCATGAACCAAAGCCAGTTATTTTTGATTTGCCTCATTATTATATCTTACATCACTCAATCAATCTTTTAATCATTAATGTTGCATGTTTTTGTAGCTACTTCGTTTTAGCTAAAATAGTTTAGTCTAATTGTGTTTGATGTGAACTTCATAAAAGTGTGTGACTGCATTATGTGAGAGGATTGACATCCAGAGGGCAAACATGCACCTGTGTTGTATTTGAGTTCATTTGTTTTTCTTTATATGCATTTGTCTTACTGGATTTTAGTCATATACTGATATATTCATATACATTTATTCATATATCACATATTCTTTAGATTTGACTTCTATTTTTATTTAATTTATACTTTAATAAAAATAGGGCCCAGTGTTCCATGTTAATCTGAAGGGAACTTTCATATTGATTTTTTCACAGGTGTTTTACATGTATTTTGAATGATGCTTTGCATTGTGTTGTGCTTTAGGGTTGAAGGAAATGTTTGTAAACTTGACATAGGTACAGGTAATTTTCTGCCAGGACATTATCTGTTTTTCTATTGATTTTTTTTCTTAGTGTGCATTTGTTTCTTAACAAGCCTCATTTTGCAACTCTGCAAGGCAGCAGGTTTTTCTGTAGCTGGAACAAAGAACAAACTATATTACGGTAAATGTCTGCATTCAAGGTCTTCACGGTCACAAGGCACTGTTAAGAATAGTCCATTCCTTTTGCCTGTGATCATAACATTTGTTTAATATATATCTTTTAAGGCAAATGTTATCTAATAAATTTAGATACCTTCACTTCCTTTCCCAGCTCCTGCGCTGCATCTAGTCATGTCAAGTCTAAATATGCGTATTGCTTTTCAGAATCATTTCAAAACAACTTTACAGAAATCTGTGCCTTACAATCAATGCTGGATACTTAAAAAAGTAATCCACGGTAGATTTACAGCTAATTAGTTAAAATTCTTTAAAATAATCCAATAATCCTTCGTGGTACAGTCACAGAGGGGCTCAAAATCACTTTTCCAGAACATTCTCGTTCACCGTTCCTGGCTGGTGGAACGATCTTCCAACCCCTATCCGGAATGCTGAATCCCTGACAATTTTCAAGCGACAGCTGAAAACTCATCTCTTTCGAAGCTACTTGACTTCATCATAAAAAAAAAAAAATCTATCTCTTTATTTATTACTTCTCTTTCTAGCTTGTACTTACTTGAACAATGTCTAGAAACTTGGTATTACAAGCACTTCCTGTCTGTTTGCCTCTTTAAGAAGAATATCGCTTTATGTATCCCCCAATTGTAAGTCGCTTTGGATAAAAGCGTCTGCTAAAAGACTAAATGCAATAAAATATTTGTGTTTTCTCATCTATTGTCACAAGTGTATTATCTCATCTAAGTCTATAAGTGTATATTACCAGAATATGTATTACAACTAAGATATCTTACTGTATATAAAATAACTGGATAAAAATAATAGTCCAGCTCTTTTTGCAAGAATTATTCTCTTCTCTTCTCTTCGTTCCAAATCGTTCCTTTGAAACAACAATAGCACTTTAAAGATTTTAGTTTCACTTTTATTTTGTAATCCTACAAGACTCGTCCCGCTAGTGACTTTTATTTTGTAATCACCAGAGGCGTCTAAATCAAGGACCTGCATAACAGGCGGCTGATGATACTGCCGGCTGATGCACTATTCATTTAAAAATATAAATAAAGCAGTATTTTGTCGCTGCATACAAGCTCGGATGGAACAGATTATGTTTTCTTTTAATATAGTCAGTTTAATTTGACGAATGTCTGTGGTATTTAAGGAGGAAATGTGTGGATTTATGGAGTCAAAGCGTTAAATGAGGATCATGGCGTTTCCGGAGGGAGAATCACTGGAATCCTGGCTCAGTACGTGCATTATTATCATTTGCATTTCATAATAGGTGTTAATAACACTGCTGTGTTATGTCTTCAATGCTTGCATTAATACCGAATCGTCCGACGTTATTATTCAGCTTGTTCCAGCAGAGTTTCGAATCATACTATAATGAAGGTCTGCTCATATAATATTAATCATCTCATATCGACGTTGCCTGGTAACCTTCTCGGGGCGTCCAATTATGATGCATAAATAATATCAAAGAGCCAAGACTTCATCATAGTAGGAAGCGTTAGTTCGCCAGCGCCTGCCTTCCAGCCAATCAGATATGCCCAGTGTACCAACGTCACATCTCATCATTAATATTCATGAGCCACGCCTTCCCTATAGTATGATTTATCAATTCAGAGTGCATTTTGACCGTCAGATCTGGAGATTATGAGTCCAGGATAGAGTTCAGAGTCCGTGTTCAGCTTCATGTAGGATGAGTTCAGACCAGAGCTTCAGGATTTACAGCAGTGATGGCTAATTCATTACTTATGATCAATTTAAATTATTTTATCCAGGGTGTTAAATAGTACACCAACCATCGTAATACAATGATTTTTGTGGACATGCACCATGAGCATACCATGTAAATACAATTGTACATGACTATGCTAATATTATACATGCATAGCGGTTTTTGTAAAGGACGACTTCTTTATTTTCTTTATATTTTTCTTGTAATCACTGATGGTAATATTGATATGCATCCCTGTGATTGGCCCTCACACTGTTGTGCCAGTGTATCACAGACACAGAGCTCAACGGGGCCGATTGTTTGGTCCTTACGATGGTGTGTGTCCTCCACAGACAAAGCCACACACCCGACCAACAGGCAGGAGGACTGGGAATACATAATCGGGTTTTGTGACCAGATCAATAAGGAGTTGGAAGGGTAAGCATCCGTAATCCAACATGACTGAAAACTACAGGATTCTCTTCTCTAACTGTGTTTGTGTGTGTGTGTTTGTAGTCCTCAGATAGCTGTGAGACTCCTGGTTCACAAAATCCATTCTCAAGAATGGGAAGCCCTTCAAGCTCTGACGGTGAGGGATGTTTTAACACTAGTCCAACATTGCTGCTTTATTATGAGTTTCTTTACAGATGATGTAATGTTTACATGATGTGATGTTGGATGGTTTTGTGTCTCTGTAGGTACTAGAGGCGTGTATGAAAAACTGTGGGCGAAGATTTCACAACGAAATAGCCAGATATAGGTTTTTAAATGAGCTGATTAAAGTGGTTTCACCCAAGGTTAGTGGTTTTTCTGTTACGACTTTTGTATTATTTTTTTTTAGGCTGACCCATAAGTTAGCATCACCCTGGTTCCCTCAAAAGAAAGCCGATAGGATTTTTTTCTTCTTCTATTGCTTTTGGATTATTGCAGAAAATAAACTCTGTGACCAACAAAACTTCAGGATTCTTGCACATCTTGTTCATCATGATAATCTTAACCAATGAACAAAACCTTTTTGAATTTTTAAGCCTAAATACAATCATTACAAGTACAAAAGCTAAACGTAGGCTATAAGCGAACTACACCATGATTGCACAACTTCAACATCACCACCATTAAGTTCGGCTCTTTCAGTCTTTATTTAAAAACATTTACTAAGAAAGTTTGAGTTCGAATAGTTTGCAAGAGTGTGATTATTAACCAGAAACCCACTGGATTCAAGACGATGGAACCAGAGGTGCAAAAATGTGATCTTGTTTCTCATTTTAGGATTCATTTATGTGTGCTTTATAGACGTAATTGACTAATATGTTTAAAAACGTTGTGTTTCAGTATATGGGGGACAGTGTTTCTGACAAGGTGAAGAATAAGATCATTGAGATGCTGTACAGCTGGACGGTGGTGTTTCCCAATGAGGCCAAGATAGCAGACGCGTACCAGACGCTCAAGAGACAAGGTGAGATTTTACAAGTGAACTTTCTCTGGTCTGTCATGAGCGGCTGTCTGATCGATGTGTGTTTCTTTAGGACTTGTGATGTCGGACCCAGAACTGACAGTGGACAAAACCCTGATCCCGTCCCCTCCGACACGGCCCAAAAACCCAGTGTTTGACAATGAGGACATGGGGAAGGTGAGAAACCTGATGGCATCATTTCCTGTGCATGCAAAATCTGAATTTAAATATGCGATTGGGAGGTTTAACTCGATGCGTTTTCCATTTATGAAACTAAGAAAATGTGTTGTTCTGTGATTTGATGGCAGTTGTTGGCTGAACTTCTGAGGAGCAAAAACCCGGAAGATCTCCAGGAGGCGAACAGACTGATCAAAAACATGGTGAAGGAGGTGAGAGGCTCTTTAGACGAGATCAAGATGTTGATCTGATATTTAAAGATGGATGTTTAAACTCCACATGAAAACGATTATTGAATGCAATTTTTAAACAATTAAAGAACTGCATGAAAATTAAAGTGTTTAAAGGAATAAAAGGGAATACAAAAAAAAACGATATTCTTTAAAAAAAAATACTGTA